GCAATATCTATCATCAGCGTGGAGAAGTCAAGATCTAGGCCAGGTGCTGCTGTGTCTACTCCCTGCTCACCTTCCTTGGGCAGGAAGGATGATAGATCAAACTCCAAAGTCTGCATTTTGTGGAGTTCAGTCTTCATAGTGGCAACTTCCACTTGGAGCTTTGGCAAGTCACTAACCTCACCCCCCATCTTCTCAACCCTTACCTCAAGCTATTGCAAGTGATCCCCGTAAGATGTTTGTTGTTATTGGAGTGCTATCACTGAGGACTGTATATGAGTCAAAGCCTGTGTAATGAGCGTGGGCAAGTTCTTCAGAAGCTGGTCTACCTTAGCATTGGTGTGTTGAGCTATGACACTAAGCCTCGAAATGGCTGGCAGTGCAGCAGAAGGCTGAGCAATAGTGGACTAAGAGGTGGGCTATGAAATGGAAGCAGAGGCAACTGGAGCCTGAGGGGACATTGGAGTTTGGGAATCTGAGGGCTCTCCATCAGCTGGAACCTGAGCCTGAACCTCTGGGGGAGCAACAACATCACTAATGTGCGTTATATCAATATACTTTAGTGCCTTCCCTGTCTTGTCAGTGTGTGGCATGGTAGGGACTTTCACAGCCTTAAAAAGGGTTGTGATCAAGCAGGGGAATGGAAATGACGTGGCTGTCTGCTTTGCCCGAATCCCTAACTCTCGGAAGATAAGAACACCCACATCAATCTTGATTCCCGTCATAATGCATGCAATGAGAAGAGCTTTCTCAATGCCGATATTAGTCTCATTTCTTGATGGTATCAGTTGAGAGGTGACAAACAACAACAACAACAACAACAACGACCCAGTATAATCCCACAAGTGGGGTCTGGGGAGGGTAATATGTACGCAGACCTTACCCCTACCCCGAAGGGTAGAGAGGCTGTTTCCAGGAGACCCTCGGCTCAAAAGGCTCAAAAAAAGCAATAGGATATAATATATTAGTACCATAAAAATGCGTAATAAAATAACAACAAAATATAGGAGATACGAAATATGAAACACAGGATACGAAATACGAAATACGAATTAGATGACTGGTATAGTACAACTAGAAGGTAAAGCCCTGCATCAATAGACGACCACTGACATTCCTAGTCTAACTCCTAACTAGATAGTCTCTCTCAGTT